CTATTTTATTTATTTATTTATCTTTAGATTTGTATCCCGCCCTACCCCGAAGGCTCAGGGCGGTTAACAAGGGCACAAAGTGCCAAGATTAAAACAATAAAAGCACATAATATAAAACAGTAAAATACAGTAACAAAATCACAGTGCTCCATTTGTCACAAGATGGGGTAGATCTTAAACCCAATGGTAACTTTCCCGAAATCTATCATCCTTTTCCTGCCAGGGGCACCTCGCACCCCCAAAGGGGCCAGATAGTCGTGGTGATGGTGTGACGGTGCATAGATGGCAATGATGGAGTAATAGTGTCGGCGGCTCCTACTCGAAAGCCTGGCGGAAGAGCTCCGTCTTGCAGGCCCTGCGGAACTGAGAAAGATCCCGTAGGGCCCAGATGTCCTCCGGGAGCTCCTTCCACCAGGTAGGAGCCACCACTGAAAATGCCCTGGCTCTGGTCACCGCAAATTTAATATCCTTGGGGCCTGGAATTTCCAGGAGATGACGACCCCCCCAAACGTAGTGCCCTTAGGGGAACATATGGAGAAAGGCGGTCCCTCAGGTAGGCTGGTCCCTGGCCATAAAGGGCTTTAAAGGTAAGAACCAGCACTTTGAAGCGAATCCAGTATGCTATTGGCAGCCAGTGCAGCGCTTTCAGCACAGGCTGAATGTGGTCCCTCCTCGAGAGACCCATCAACAACCTGGCTGCAGCATTCTGCACTAGCTGCAGCTTCCAGATTTGCAACAGAGGCAGCCCCATGTAGAGAGCATTACAGTAGTCTAGCCTTGAGGTAACCGTCGCATGGATCACCGTGGCCAGGTTCTCACGGCTAAGGTAGGGGACCAACTGCCGAGCCAGCCGAAGATGATAAAAGGCTGCCCTGGCAGTGGCTGCCACCTGGGCCTCCATCGTTAAAGAGGAGTCCAGGCGCACACCCAAACTCCTAACCTCCGACGCTGGTACCAAAGGCACCCCATCAAAGGTTGGGAGAGGGAGCCCCAACCCTGAGCCGATCTGACTCAGGCCCAGGACCTCCATCTTTGCCATGTTTAGTTTCAACCGGCTCAGTCTGAGCCACCCAGCCACAGCCTGTAACACCCGATGCAGGTCATCCAGGGCAGAGTCCGACCGGCCGCCCAGCATCAGATAGAGCTGGGTGTCATCTGCATATTGATGGCACCCAAGCCCACAACTCCGGGCAATCTGGGCAAGGGGGCGCATGTAGATGTTAAACAACATCGTGGACAGCACAGCCCCCTGAGGCACCCCACACTCCAGGGGATGTCTCTGGGACTGCTGGTCCCCTATCGCCACCCTTTGTCCCTGACCTTGGAGAAAACAGGCAAACCATTGAAGGGCAAGCCCCTGAATCCCCGTGTCGGCGAGGCAGTGGATCGTGTCTAACACGGCCAACAGATCTAACAACACCAGTGCTGCCATACCGCCCCGATCCAGATGCCTACCGAGATCATCAGTCAGGGCGACCAACACCGTCTCCGTCCCATGACCTGAGCAAAATCTGGACTGGTAGGGATCAAGGACGGAAGCATCCTCCAGAAAGCTCTGTAGCTGTAACACAGCCGCCCGAGTTTGCCCAAATAGGGCAAATTAGACACCGGCCGATAGCCAATTCGGTCGGGTCTAAAGATGGCTTTTTCAAGAGAGGGGAGACCATCGCTTCCTTGAGTGCCCTAGGGAACTGTCCCTCTGAGAGGGACATGTTGATAATCTCCCGCAGGGCACCTCGAAACCCCTCGCAGCCTGCTTTAATGAGCCAAGAGGGGCATGGATCAAGGTCGCATGTGGTTGGACGCATTGATACGAGCACTCTGTCCACTTCCTCCAGACTGAGCTGACCAAAACGCTCTAAACCCGGCAACAAAGACATGCAAGGGACCTCAAGTTCGCGCACTGTTTCAACTGTGGCGGGGAGATCGCGGCGGAGCACCGAGACTTTATCTGCAAAATAGCTCGCGAATGCCTCACAGCCTATATCCAATTCCCTAGCGTTTTGTCTGCCCTGTGGCAGAACTTTCAGAGACCGAATTGTACTAAATAATTGGGCTGGGTGTGAGCTAGCAGATGCAATCTTGGCTGCATAGAAATCTCTGTTTGCGGCTTTGACTGCCATCTTATAGGCTTTCATAAATGTCCTATAAGATGCTCTACATGCTTCATCACGAGCTTGGCGCCACTGTCTCTCTAGCCATCTCAGTTCTTGCTTCAGCTCACGCAGCTCTTGGGTATACCAAGGCGCTTGCCTAGCACGAGTGTGGAGAGGGCGCCTGGGAGCAATCTCGTCAATGGCCGAGGAGAGCCGGACATGCCAGTCCTCCACCAGCTCATCCAACGAGCCGCCAGGGGGCCTTGGATCCCGCAGGGCCATCTGGAGCCACAAAGGGTCCATTTGGCGCTACGGGCGAGCATAAATCTGCTCGCCGCCTAAACAGGGTCAGGGTAGAACCTTCAGACAGGCCTTCAGGGCCCGGTGGTCCGACCATGGCACTACCTCTGTAGTGATCCGGTCCATCTTCACCTCTGCCGCAAAGATCAAGTCGAGCATGTGACCGGCCCAATGCATGGGAGCCGAAACAAGTTGAGAGAGTCCCAGTGACGCCATGGTCGATACCAGGTCCGTAGCCCGGCTGGAGGCCGCGTCCTCGGCATGGACGCTGAAGTCACCCAAGACAATCAGCCTAGGGTGCTCCAGCACCCAGCCTGATACGGCATCCAGCAGGGATGGCAGGCTACTGGCCGGTGCGTTAGGTGGTCGGTGCACCAGCCAGATTGCCAAACTCTCCTCAGCCTCCAGCATCAAGCCGACACATTCAACGCCCACGATCTCCACCGACGGGAGCACCCTGAAGGAGTAAGCCTCCCAAATTAAGATAGCCACTCCTCCCCCCCGCCCCTGAGTCCGTGACTGGTGGAGGACCGAAAACCCAGGTGGGGCAAGCTGGGCGAGAGCTATTGTCTCTCCCTCCCGCACCCAGGTCTCGGTCACACACGCCAGGTCAGCATGTTGTTCTTGTATAAAATCCCGACGGGTTGTAATTTTGTTATTAATAGACCTGGAGTTAAACAGCACCAGTGACGGAGCCCTGATGAACAGAGTGGTAGGATATACTAGACATTTAATTCTGGGTATCTGTTGACGTTTTTCTGTTTTGGTGTTCTACCCCCCCCCCTTGCCTTAATTCTCACTCTGGTTATTTAAACTGGTATCTGCTGATTAGACAACTAATGCTTTATTTCAAGGGTCCCCAACATAGTGCCCATGGGTATTACGATGCCCGCCAACGCTTTCCTTGGCGCCCAAGTGTTTTTATAAAGTGGGTGGGGCCAGGTGGGGCACTTGCCCAACAGACGATCTGACTGGCCACTGAAGAGCCAATTCACTATGCAATTTAAAATATTGTTTCACTGGTAGATGTGCCCTGTGCTTTTCCCCCTTGCTCCTCTTCTCCAGTGTATTTTTAAATTACCCCTTTTCTCCCCTGCACCTAGGCTTCCTCTGTATGTGTGGCTTTACCTCCTGCAACAGCCATTCTGTGGTTGGCTCTGCCCCCTGTGACAACCATTTTGTGTTTGCACCCACCACCCTTGTTAGAATTCCAAAGGTGTCCACAGGCACAAAAATGTTGGGGACCCCTGCTTTATTTAAGCAATCTGTTTATTTAGTATAAAGGTTTCCCTTGCTCAAAAGCCAGTCGAATCTGACTCTAGGGGGCGGTGCTCATCTCCGTTTCCAAGCCGAAGAGCCAGTGCTGTCTGGAAACTTTTCTGTGGTCATGTGGCCGGCATGACTAAACGCCGAGGCACACAGAACACTGTTACCTTCCCACTGAACTGGTACCTATTTATCTCCTTGCAATTTCTTGCTTTCGAACTGCTAGGTTGGCAGGAGCTGGAACTAGAGACGGGAGCTCACTCTGTCACGAGGCACTTGGGTCTCAAACTGCCGAGCTACAGACCTTCTGGTCTGCGGCTCAGCATCTTAACCTCTGAGCCACCGTGGCTCCCTTTTATTTAATGTACAGACCTGATAATGCATCGCCTATAACAATCCAGTTTGGCCTCATTTCTACCATGCACCTGTTGCTTGTTTCTGTTTGAGGGACCTTACACCCAAATAAACAGCCACAGGTCTGTTTCCCAACAAGACAGAAACCAGGACCCATTCCATGGCAACGCTATGTTTTAAAACTATCACTATCTTACAGCGAAGGAGTATCCTCCATGGTTATATCCTGATTAAGTCTGCAGGGCAATAAAGGGGCGAGACTCTCTTCAAGTTGGGCAGTGAAAAGCAAATTGGAACAACCCCTATGATTGAAGGCAAGAATTTAAGTGGAACAGTCCTGGGAAAAGGAGAAGGGATTTTGTTTTGAGATGGCCGGTTCCTGAGACAGCAAGAAGGTCCCACAGGGAAGAAGAAAGAGGAAAACAGCCATGGAGGCGAAAATTAGACTGTGTTATATCTACCGAGGGAGACTTACTGTTAATTTGCTTTTAATGGTGGAGGGGAAAATAATGGTTAAATGAGATGTCATTGTTCTCTGAAATTTGTGTCTAAGTTAAATAGCGATTCTCCTGGATTACTCTTCAAATAGTCAGATTTGTTGGGAAGTTTTCACAAGCTTTGAGGATGATTGATCACTCTCAATGTTAAAGAAAGCTTTTTAACATTGTTAAGCAAACTTTTTATAAGCTGTATGTGACCTCCAACCCTTGGGTTTTTAGTGGGTTTTCTTTTCTTTCTCCTATAGTGTGTAGTCTCCCTCCCTAATTTCGTTGTAGTTTTTAGAAAATGAAAATAAAAAATCCCCTACGGGGGGCCATAATTTTTTTTAAAAAAACTATCACTATCTTCCAGATAGTTGGGATGGTCCTGTGCTATGGCAAAGTCCACGAATGTCCTTAAACACACACACTGGAAAATTTCGAGGACTGTAGTAAAACCAGAGCATTGCAAAAAGGGAAGGAAAGGATGGAAAGCTCTACTTACTCATTTAGTATTAGGTCGGGTGCAAAGTAAAGCATTTGACCGCTGACGTGCTTATAAGACCTCCACCCCATGGCAAACACCATTAGGCTCATCCAGGAATACTGGATTAGGGTTATCTGGTCATCAATATGCAGATTCCGGAATCCTGAAAAGTAGACAATGCAAAAGAAAAGACTATGTAAAATTAGAATTTGCAACACTTCTATTTTGAAAAGGTTCACTGAGAGATCACCTCCTGTAAGTGAGTTACATCTGCCTTAGGAATCAGAAACTGTGTAGTCCCAGTTTGTGTGATATGCCTTTTATAACCAATAAACTGTGTTAATCCAGCTGCCTATAAACTTTATTTTAAGAAGCTCAAAAAGGTTCCCCCACCAAGCTGTCCGCACAATAACTGTGTGAGGTAGGGGTAGGCTGAGAATGACCTTATGGTTAACCAGGAAACTTGGTGGCATAGTGGGGAATTGAACCCAGGTCTCTGATGTCCTAATCCAACACTATAACCATTTTACCATGCTGGCTCTCATTTGGTGACTCAGGACGACGGGATATAAATCAAATAAATAAACAGAAAACCCATTGTCATTTCTCCTTTCTCCCACCTGTTAGCCAAACTGCTTTATCTACAGCAGTTGGCAAATTTTACTCTGGGTACTGCCAGCTATAACAAGGTCCAGTCCACCCCAAGGGTTTGCCAGTGAAAGAGTCGAGGCTGTTGGTTCCAAAGTAATCTGTCTTTTACTTAAGAATATATAAATCACATACACACGATGCTGATACATACACACATTCAAGCAAGTTCCTTAGAAATATAGAATTACAAAGAATCACTTTAGCATTCACAGGTAAGGTGATTGGGAGCAATATTTATCTGTCCTGAAGAATGGAGGGTTAGAAAAATAGACTAGGGAGATTTAACACACTGCTAGAACCAGCCAGCTAGTGTGGGTCTCTTGACTGCAGATCAAGAGATCAAGTAGAAGCAAGGGTTTCAGTACAGGAAGCTGGTCTTAAGAGGAGTTTAAAAGCAGACAGGGGGTGTTGGGGGGAAGGCGGCTAGCAAGGACCAGACCACTGGTCCTTACCTTATATAGGTGGATCTTTGGGTGGGTGGCAACTATGCCAGCCTTTGGACCCACCTACCTGTAAGTCCGTCCCAAAACTTATCTCATTGGCTGTGTGAGGGGTGGCTACCTAAAGGGTTGGGCCTATATTGTAACTCTAGATATAACTCAAGGGATGGCATCTAGTCAAGTATGAAAGTTTGGCGTCTAGGAACTTCCTTGATGTGTAGATGAAGCTTGGCCTTTCCCAGGTAATCAAAGAGGCATCTGGCAGGAAATGCTCATTCAGATGTAAAGCAGAGATGTGGAATACGTGTCATTCAACAGTTCATCAATGGGGGCTGTTTTTCCTTAAGTTGTTGTTTCTGCTGACCATAATGGCGATGTGTGCTTCTCTCCCTCAGGCTAGTAGCTGTGTATTTGAAACCTCATTAACATGTAAGGCTTGATGCATTCACCATCTATGTGTATCTCACAACAGGTGATTTGTACAGCTTTCCTTTGAGCCTATGTGTGTGTGTGTGCACAGTCCATGTAGTGTGTGGCAGCAAATATAAATCCATAAAGCAAAATATCAGTCTCATTCCTAACACTAATGAGGAAAATCAAACGAAATTATAATTTAAAAGGAGTTGAGAATGCTACAGGTCTTACTATTACTAATGGTCCAGAAGGATTCTGTTGGTAAGGACAAATTTATGAGTTGGATCCACACTAAATTTTCCAGCAGCAGAACAGAACTTTCCTGCTCCTCTCCCTCCACTGCAGTCCACTGACCTCCCCGAAATGCTGCTCGTGGGAGATGGGAGACCCCCAGGAATGTCACAAGGGAGGTCTGAAGCAGGAAGGAGAAATTGGCGGGAAGTTCCAGTTTAGTCCGGATCCAACCCAATGGTCTCAGGTTACACCAGTTCTGTTTTATCACTGAACTTCTTTTTCCATATGCCCCCATGCATTGAAGCATGCTAGAGGGCCACAAGAGACAGAAACAACACTCCGAAGAAGAGTGCTACAAGGAAAGCCCACCTGGTTCCATCCCTATTGGCATTCCACTGATTCCTGAAAATTGCCCTTTTACAAGGGTCTTTGGTGCTTGAGCATTTTCAAGTTGTGGATTTAGTGCTGCTGAATTGTGCATTTGTGTGCCCGATTGGGGTGGTTGTTAGCTGACACCATTCGCTATTTGTCCCTGCTGGCTTCACCTTAGGCCAAGGAGGGAAGTGGTTCACCCTTCCGCCCAGTTTTCGTTCTCTTCCTTACCCTGCCCATTGGGCTGCGCAACCTCATCTTTCTGAGTAGGCCTGATGGCCAGTGAGTCTTCTTTGGCCTTGCCTGGATGGGGCTTAAATAGCTCCTTACAAGTTCTACAGCCCCATCTCTTCTTCTCCCACTGAGCTTCTGACCCTTTTATCCCAGCCCCCTGTAGCCTGTCCAGTGCTCCTCAGTCTTTACCAGCTGAGTACTTTGCAGCCAGTCGTCCAGGCAATGGCCTCAGCCAACCAAGCAGTGGAGTCAGTGATTTTTCTCCCTGCAGTAGCACAACCTCCGGCCACAACTGGTGTGGCTTTGGACTCTAGCCCCCTTTCGAAAGCAGCTTATCAAAAGGTTTATTCCAAATGGGATACCTGGTGGCCTACGAGAAATACCAAAGCTTTTGATCCCTGCTTCTGAGCACTGAAGATTTGTCACTGGATGAAGGACCAAAGGCATATTTACAGACTTGGTAACAACCAATCCTATTACCTGGTAATGACTTGGACCACTTGACTACACAAAGAAGCTGCCTCTCACATAGTTGGTTGAGGCCAGTCAGCAGAGCGCTCGGCGTTTCTGGCTGCGTGTTGTCGTAACCAGCATAGACCACCTCTGGCTCGATGCCCTGCAAGATGCTGACCAGCGGAGGAATATACTGGATCTCTTGGCTTGGAGAAAAGGAGAGCCTCTGAGCGAGGGCTTGGCTGTCCGTCGGATGGGCTGCGGGCTGCTGGAGTGCGATGACGTCTAACGTTCTCAGAACTTTGACCTTGTTAAACTTCTTAAACTTTCGACCTGCAATCCCCGAGAACAATCACTGGTGAAAACGAACATCGATATCAATTCAGATTCAAATCAGACAAAGCTTCTTAAACTTTTAACCTGCAATCCCCAAAAAACAATCACTGGTGAAAACGAACATCAATATCAATTCAGATTCAAATCAGATGAAACTTCTTAAACTTTCGACCTGCAAGCACCAAAAACCATCACTGGTGAAAACGAACATCGATATCAATTCAGATTCAAATCAGACAAAGCTTCTTAAACTTTTAACCTGCAATCCCCAAAAAACAATCACTGGTGAAAACGAACATCGATATCAATTCAGATTCAAATCAGATGAAACTTCTTAAACTTTCGACCTGCAAGCATCAAAAGTAATCACTGGTGAAAATGAACATTGATATCAATTCAGATGAAACTTTATTATATGTCATGTGCTACCAAGTTTAAACCGGAAAGCCTCTTATAATAATAATTATCGTATGGCAGTGTGTGTAGTATATCCAGGAGATCCTAAGATAGTCTGGCACTCAGAAGTTCTAGCTTTCTTAGTGTCATGCACCACTAGGTGGCGAGCTAGATTTTGTTTTTAGGGCTGGCTTCATGTGGGGGAGTGGAGAATCAAACCCGGTTCTCCAGATCAGAGTCCACTGCTCTTAATCACTACACCAAACTGGCTCTTGGAAAGCCTCTCACATTATGTATATCGATGTCACAGTATGACTTCAATGGTAATTCCACTCAGGGAGCTCTTATTCCAATCCCAGAATGTTTCTGCTCCTCCCAGGGACTGTCATTTCACTCTGGCAGCTGCCATTCCAGTCCCAGAGTAGTCTATCTGGGCCCAGAGACCTTAGTGGAAAATCTACTCTGTGTTTTCTTTGCAACTTTGTGCTGCGATGTATTTCAATTGAGTGGACCTCGAGCAGTTTCACTTTCCAGTGTTTGTGTGCCAGCTGAAGCTGTCGCTTGATGGAGTCGTCTCCTTGCAAATACAGGGTTGATGTTTTGAGCCAGCTTGTCTCTGCTGAAGGGACCTGAGAATGGGTGCCTGAGTGAGTACTGTAACCTAGGAACCCACAGCCAAAGGGGCACATTACACTGGAGAGCCACTGACACTCTGAGTAGACCTGGGGGGGAGGGGAGACGCTTACAATGCCCCATTGGATTGCCAAATACCACTATCCCCCCACTTTCCATTTTAGGCAGGCATCTTGGGGCGGGGGGAGGTTTGGGAGGTGTCAGTTATCCAAGACTGTTAAATAAAAAAAATATTTCAAAAATTGTAAGCATATTTGTATTTTAAGTTAAAAAAATAATATCTTTAGTTGTGTTTGTATCTTTTATAAAGTTTATATCTGTGCTACCTGGCATTACATTTTATGACACGCGCGGCCTGGCCCCACAAAGTCCCATTTATGTCAGATCCAGCCCTTGTTGCAACTGGAAGTGTATGCCTAAAAACATCTCTTGCACCCCGCCCATTTCTGTGAGCCATGCAGAGGCATACTAAATCTAGAGTGCATCAGCAAAGCTGGAATGGTTTGAGTTGCCCATGCACCAGCTCCACCAGACAATGTGTTATCAGAATTCATAATAGAGGTGAAGACTGACAGGAGACTCTATGAGAATGCCATTTCCTCCAGGGGAAACAATCTCTATCACAGGGGTGGCCAAACTTGCTCAGCGCAAGAGCCATACAGAATAAATGTCAGATGTTTGAGAGCCACAAAACATGAACACATATCATACGCACATTTTTATTTTAAAATATGCAAGTTTGCTTTTTCTTAACATTAAATGAGACTGCCAAAAACAAAAACAAAAGGGGTAAAAACAGATACTGATAATGATATTTATTTGTCTAAGAGAGAGAGAAAACGAAAAAGGTGGAAAGAAAGAATGAAAGAGGTGGAAAGAAAGAGAGAGAGAGAGGGTGATTTCCCACAAGCGCCGCTCCGCGCTCACTCTTCTCTTTGCCCGATGGTACGTGTCAGTTTCACACAAGCTGCTGCGCGACCACATTTTGCCCCGCAGCTTCGTGCGATTTTCCCCGCATCTACCCAATCCTGTTTTTTGAGGATTGAGTAGACGCGGGGGAAATCGCACGAAGCTGTGGGGCAAAATGCGGCCGCGCAGCAGCTTGTGTGAAATTGACACGTACCATCCGGGCAAAAGGGAGGAGTGAGCGTGGAGCAGCGCTTCACCCAGAGAAACAAAGAAAGCAAATAGACAGGAGGGAGGGAAGAAAAGCCACTTGCCTTACCTCAGAAGGCAAAGACACACACACACAGAGAGAGAGCAGGGCTTAGGAGACAGACTTTAGCTGTAGGGCTACCAACCTCTAGGGGGAAGCTGGAGATCCCCTGGGATTGCAATTGATGTCCAGGCGACAGAGATCCATTCACCTGGAGTAAATGGCCACTTAGGAAAGGCGGACTCTGTGGCATTATTCCCCGCCCTCCACAGGCTCCACCTCCAACATTTCTGGGTACTTCCCAACCCAGAGCTGGCAACCCTACTTAGCTGGCGGGGTGGATAGCATGGGAGTACTTCCCGTACCCTTGTCCCAAGCTATTTCGGTTCATAAAGGTAAAAACTAGCATTTTGAATTGTTCAGTGTTAAATGATATGAGATCGCTGATATGTTAGGAATGGGGGGAAACGGAATGGAATTACTATACTTTAATCACATTTGGAAATAGGTCCCAAGTTTCAAAAAAAAGGAGAGAGAACCTCTTCCTGACCTGGATAGCCCAGGCAAGCTCGATCTTGTCAGATCTCAGAAACTAAGTAGGGCCAACCCTGGCAAGTACTTGGAAGGGAGACCCCCCCCCAAGGAATACCAGGGTCATGATGAAGAGGCAGGCAATCACAAATCACCTCTCTGAAATTTCCAAACCCCACTAGGGGTCGCCAGAAGTCAACCATGACTTCCAGGCACGCGCACGCACACACAAAATACAAAAAGAAAAACCCTGAGAACATAAGATGTTGGATCAGGCCAATGTTGGATCAGGCCAAAGGCCCATCCAGTCCAACACTCTGTGTCACACAGTGGCCAGAAATACCAGTGCCATCAGGAGGTCCACCAGTGGGGCCAGGACATCAGAAGCCCTCCCACTGTTGACCCCCCCCCCCAAACACCAAGAAGACAGAGCATCACTTGCCCCAGAGTCCCTATCTATACCTTGTGGCTAATAGCCACTGATGGACCTCTGCTCCATATGCTTATCTAATTCCCTTCTGAAGCCGTCCATGCTTGTAGCCGCCACCACTTCCTGTGGCACACAGTGATATATATGTACTATGTGCCTTCTCACTGGCAGAAACAGGAGGCAATTGGTCAGCTGGTCTCTAAGGTATGTCGGTCATAAACCCACATGCTCCAAAACTATTTTGTGCATAATTCTTAACTGAGATTGACACACACACCCCTGCACGCCAACCTCCCCACCGAAAGCTTGGAAGGAGGCTGGAACTGAAGGGTACCAAGCTGCACCAGGCGTTTCATCACAAGCCGACAAGCCTCCTTCTGAGAATGCCTCACCCTGCAATCAGGTGGGAAATGATGACAATTTGTTATTTCTTGACAGAATACCATGATTCTGCCTCCCAGGTCACCTCGCCCCTGTGGTTTGCTCAGGGAAAATGATCCCTGTGCTCTTCAGGAGTTTACCCAGAAGGAGAGAACAAAGCAGAGGCGATCCATCAAGGTTTTATTGAGCAATTTGAAGTAACATCTTGTGAAAAATCTTAGCCGCAGAACTAATTTGGGTGTGTGTTTTCTTCTCCTCCCCCCCCCTCCAGGACGTGACATTTGTAGAATGGCTGGAAAGGGAGGCTGAAGAGGGTATCTAGCAGAAGCCTTTAAAAAAGGAACAATGTAGCCCAAATTCTGCTGGTTTTAATAAGGCAGTTTACCCTTGTAGTTAAACCACTTTCAATGAAATGCATGTGAAAGGAACTTCACTTTGTTTGACTGATTTTTTTGGTATGTTTGTGGGGGGCGGGGGAGAAGCAAATGCTACCATGAAATCAACCTCACTGAAACTCCTAGCCTATACCTGAATCCAGCTAGGGCTCTTCAAATGCTTATGCATTTCCTAGCTGGTTTGGAATTGTGTACATAAATTAGTGCCGCGATGCATTATTCCCTTCCCCAATCCACAGGGTTGTCAACCTCTTGGGGGGGGGGTAGCAATCTCCCGCTATTGCAATTGACAACAGAGATCAGTTCCCTTGGAGAAAATGGCTGCTTTGGAGGGTGGACTCTATGGCATTATACCCCGCTGAGGTCCCTCCCCTCCCCTCCCCAAACTCCCCCCTCCCCAGGCTCCACCCCTAAAATCTCCAGCTGGCAACCCTACCAATCCAACAGCCAGGCATTTCCCATTAGGGTTGCCAGGTGCTTACCTTCTACCAGTGGGGGGGCTCCACACTTATTCCTGGGATTCTCCCAGAAGTGACATCATCGCGCCGTGCACATCGTGCGGGGACGCGCTAGCATTTGGCCAAAAACTCTGTGGTCATCATAGAGTTTTTAGCCAAATGCTAGAATATATCTGTGTGATGTTCCTTCCTTCCTTCCTTCCTTCCTTCCTTCCTTCCTTCCTTCCTTCCTTCCTTCCTTCCTTCCTTCCTCCCTCCCTCCCTCCCTCCCTCCTTCCTTTCCCCCAGATCCTCTTAGGACATGGGAAAAATGCATTTGATGAGACCAAAGGACGAAGACGACATAATACCAAGGCAATGTTAAGCCTTAAAACTCTCCACTACAGAAAGTTATTTGGGGGTGGTGAGTGTCTAAACACCCCTGACCCAACAAAAACTCCTGCCATCAATGCCAAAACTACAAGGAGGTCAAGAGCATTTTCCTGGGCACATACAGAGTGAATTTTCCGTACTATTTGGTACCAGGGAATGACTTTCTTGTTTGGGTGGCCTCAAATGAAGGAAGATGGAATTCTGGTACTGCCCAATTTAGTAATGAAAGCATTGGTTAGTAAACA